TGTTTATACAACAGGTGGGTCTAATCCTGAATGCTGATTGGTTAAAACCGCATTCCAGCTGGTGTCTATTCCACAAGTTACCACCTGCTAAATTTATGACGTTAAAATGCCTATTTACTCCACTGTCTCATCAGCCCAGCCAGGCAATTTATAAGCTTGATCTCCACTATAAAAAGCATCTAGACATTATCTCACATTTCTTTTAGACTAACATTTAACAACAGCGGATATTTGTATAAACCTTGCTGTCTGTCTCTACGATATTTTCAACATTGTTTCAATATTCAAATTTGATCTCCAGCTGTCCCATTGTAATTAATGTGTTGGGAGTTGGGACGAGACAGACAGGCAGGCAGCGTTTCTCAGCCAGTCTAAATCATGAATCAGCTGGCATCATTTTTATGGATATATACAAAGAAATGTCAATTGAAAAAAATTCAAACAAAACGAAGTGCAGCTAGTTTGCAGCCTTTCCAGCTTCAGTTTGAAGTGATTGTGTTTGCTGTGTTGTTGGCTAGCTCCTCTAAACAACAGTGTCCTGACGAGTGAGCACATTTTCTAAACCAGGCGAAATTGCGCTTCATTAGCTCATTGTTATGGATGTATCCAAATAAATGTCACTAGAAAACAGCTTAAACAAATGCAAATGCAGCTACTTTGCTGTTATTCTGGCTGCACTTTTTGACGTGACTGTAAGTTAGCCGTAGTTGGCTAGCTATCAAGCAAGGGATAACAACGTTGCCAGCCAGTATGGCAATGGAACATTTAGAAAGATCGACTGGGTCGCGTCCATAGATACAGAACAAAAAGACTGAAAGACTGTGTCGCGTCTCTAGCAACCGAACCGATAGAACGAACGACCAGTCGGCTTGGATAGCAACTCTAGATTTGTGTCGGGACTATATCTTGTGGAAGGATGAAATAGTATGAATAAATTCATCAAAATAACATTTTTTATGAAAATATGTCAATCATTATTTGAATATCTAAATTTTATACACCTGTCAGCAACGGGTGTGGCTGAAATAGCTATATCAACTAATTTGAAGGGGTGTCCACATACTTTTGTATATATAGTGTACATGTCAATACATACCCACAAACATTTTGTCACCTGGGGGAGAGGCGTTGTGCAGTGAGGTGTTGCTTTATTTGTTTTTTTAAACCAGGTTTGCTGTTCACTTGCCCTATATGAGATGAAAGGGAGATCCATGCAATCATGGCTCTATAAAATACTGTATGTTTTCTTGAATTTGTTCTGGACATGGGGACTGTGAAGAGAACCAAGGTGGCATGTCTGGTGGGGTAAGTACAGTATGTCTGTCAGCAACATGTTTTAAACAAATTAATATTGCTCACAAAAATAATAATTGATGCAGTCAATCTCTCCTCTGCGTTGCGCCAAAAGATACCGACATGCATACTGTTGACATTAGCCCTCTGTGTACATTGAAGTGCAAGATGTGCTGCTCTGTTCTGGGCCAGCTGCAGCTTTTCTAGGTCCTTCTTTGCAGCACTTGACCATATCACCGGGCAATAGTCAAGATTAGATCTAACTAGAACCTGCAGGACTTGTTTGGTCAACTGTGATTTAAAAATGCTGAGCATCTCTTTATCATAGACAGACCTCTCCCCATCTTTACAACAATGGAATCAATATGCCTTGACCATTTACAGTCTAAGGTGACACCAAGAAGTTTAGTTTCCTCAACTTGCTCAACAGCCACATCATTCATTACCAGATTTAGCTGAGGTTTAGAACTTAGGGAATTATTTGTACCAAATACAATGGTTTAGTTTTAGATATGTTCAGTCTACTTTATAACTAGCCACCAATGTTCCCTCTCAGCTGCGAGCATGCGGAGCCGAGACTGCCGCACAGAAGAAGTATCAGCCGGGGCAGAGAAGCACCAGATTGAACTTCACTCAACTTTCTAGAGTTTTCCCTGTTAGTTAACACTGTCAACGTGTCCCTTTACTGTGGAAATTGTGATCGAATCAATGCAATATTAGCCACTTTCAATGCAACATACCGAAACAAAACAAACTATGCAAGAGATTTTGTTGTAGGCAGAGCGCATCAGAGTAGGATTCTATTGCATTGACAGGCAGGACTCAGGCCCATTCTCTACACAGCCCGGTATGCCATATCCAATCAGAGCTGCAGTAGGCCTATATGCAAATAGACCATTGCCATATATGGATTTGTGCTATTAACTTTGAACTGGACAGTTTTACAGCACGATTATTATGGCCTTGTTTTGAGATCAAAGTGAGAGCTGCATGTAGCCAAGTGTTCACATTTGTTCATATTCTTTGCTAGTTAGTGAGTTATTAGCCCAGTTATAACTAATTTGTAGTCAGCAATGTGGGAGTGATTGCTTCCTACAAGAGCAGAAAACGTGTACATTTCTAGCCATCTTTAAAAAGTGAGTCAGCTAAAGAGCCTTTTTTTTTCTTAAAGGGGCAGTGTTGTATTTTGAGACAGATTTGAATAAGCTAAGTAACCAATAGGCAGAGGGTAGAATAATTTGTCTGATTCTCTGTAATAATGGTATGGGAATAATATTGCATTTAATTTTTTTAAGTGGTTTCTTGCATCAAACAACACAATAAAATGTTCAGTCACCTCCTTGTCTGAAGGACAAGTGGATAAACAGGTTAATATCAAGCCAGTAAAGGACCAAAACAGCTGCCTTGCGGAATACCAGACTTTACATGTTTTACATTAGAGAAGCTTCCATTAAAAAAGACCCTCTATGTTCTATTCGATAGATAGATCTCAACCCATTATATGGTAGAGGATGTAAAACCAAAACACACAAACGTTTTTCCAATAACGGCTGCACAAAAGTCTAACAATACAGCTCTCACAATCTTTTTATTATCAATTTATTTCAGCCAATCATCAGTCATTTCTGTCAGTGCTACATGTTGAATGCCCTTCTCTATAAGCATGCTGAAAGTCTGTTGTTAAATTGTTTACAGATAAATAGCATTGTATCTGGTCAAACACAATTTTCCAAAAGTTTGCTAAGAGCCGGCAGCAAGCTGATTGATCTGCTGTTAAAACCATTAAAGGATGCTTTACTATTCTTGGGTTGCGGAATGACTTTAGCTTCCCTGCAGGTCTGAGGACAAACACTTTTCTCCAGGCTCAGATTAAAGATATGACAAACAGGAGTGGCAATACATTACCATCCTCAGTAGCTTCCTATCTAAGTTGTCAATACCAGGTGGTTTCTCATTATTGAAGGACAACACCTCTCCCATACTAACTTTACATAATTCAAAATTGTAATGTTTTTTAAATTATTATTAGCTATTTAATGCATGAATATGATGACACAGTTTGTTGTTGGCATTTCATGTCTGAGTTTTCCCACTTTGCCAATGAAATAGTCATAAAAATAATTGGCAATATCAAAAGGTTTTGTGATGAATGAGCCTTCTGATTCAATGAAAGATGGAGTTGAATTAGTCTTTCTGCCCACAATTTCATTTAAAGTACTCCAAATATTTTTTTCCATCATACTTTATATAAGTTATCTTAGTTTCATAATACAGTTTCTTTCACTTTTTGTTTAATTTAGTATATTAATAGAATATAATATAGAATAGAATTGACATGCCATCCATGCAGTTTAAAAAGGTTCATAATGATTAAGAACCATTTTTGGTTTCACTTTTTCCCCCAAAGTAAGGAGAGGAAAGGCAACTTGAAAGTCGAGGGAGCGCATGTAAACGCTGGGATGAGCGAGCGCCAACTCGGGCTCTGCTATGCATCAACAGCTTGGGAGGAAACATCACGTGGTGACACATCGCCGAGACTGACGTCACCGTCCCCGTCTCCAAGCAACCTCTCCATCAGCACTCGCGTCACCGCGCGCCAAGCCGCACGGTTGCCCAGCAACTTCAGCTTTGCGCTCGCGCCCAGCCTTGCGCCCCACTCGAAGCTCTGACGCGGGTGTGACGTTAATGAGATGGTATCAATTTGTTATAGGAGCGCGAGAGGAGGAGTTTCCATATGAACGCTGCGGCTGTCCGCATTCCAGAGGAGCGCACATGCAGAAGGAGCAGTGCAGTGCAGTAGCCGATTATGTGACCGGCCAAGTCACCCTGTAAATAGTTCTTACTGATACGACTGGCACACAGTACTGTACATTTCTGTACATATTTCGTTAAAATAAATAAAAAATAAAAAGTTCTATGTTGTTTTATTATACTTTTCTCGTATTTACAGCAAATACAATATCCTTATGGAATGACTTGTTTAGCTGCCTATGACAACGGATTGAACTGTGAGAGGTGTACGGACATCCACGGTAAGACACTATAATGCTCTTATGATTGTTTGGAAATCACTGGCTTACAGTTCAAGGTGGTTCTATAATGGACATGTATAATATTTTATTTTATTTTATTTTTATAGTTGTTTATTTATTTAGACCTTTTATTGTTTTATTTGTCTCTGATTCAGGCAGCCTATATGCCCCGAGCTGCAATTAATTTTTTTACTTTAACACATAACAATTTTGTATTGTGTGTTGTGTTATAAAGGCCTACATGTCTATTATCCATTGACTTCTCACATTTTGGCATGTTTGTAGCTTGAATCCGGCGCTTATTAAATGTAATTAATAAGCTATATGTTTAGTGCAGTAGGCTAATTAAATTTAGTGCAAGCTTGTAAAGATTTGACAGATGTGAAGGGATGTGGTCTATATTTAATTATTTTCTGCGTCATCATGATGCAATGCAAATGTTAATTCAGAATCTTAATTGTGGATGAGCACGAATAGGCTACGCCTAGCTAAAAGTGTAGCCTAATGATTAGGCCTATATTTTATAACGTTATTATCATTAATTATAATAATACATTGATAATGTAATGCATTAACAATTGATAACACACTAATAATAGGCCTACAATAAAAAAATAAAAAAATAAGAATGTCATTATGCATAGGCTTATGTGTATTTGATATTTACAATTTTGTCTTTTGCATCGCAGATAGCCAACTACACACAATTTTAATCCTATCCTTTGGAATACATTAATCAGTCGGGCATCATGGTGATCATAACGGAGAGCAGCCCGGGGGCCCAGCCCAACCATACTCATGGAAGGCCTCTACAGGTCGGCTTCTACGAGATCATCCGCACGCTGGGGAAAGGAAACTTCGCTGTGGTCAAACTGGCAAGGCACAAAGTCACCAGAACACAGGTCAGCATCCCTGCTCTTTTATTAACAATGGTTTCATATAATATTTTATTCATTTCAAAATCACACAGACTGAACTAAAAATAAAAAAATTGATAGAATCATATCAGCCTCTCATATTGCATTTGTCCTAGATATAGTAGACCTAGATACCAGTGTTTTTACAGTTTGCTGTGTTGGTTGGTTGTCCACTGCCAGGTGGCCATAAAGATAATTGACAAGACCAGACTAAACCCGTCCAACCTAGAGAAGATCTACAGAGAGGTCCAGATCATGAAGCTGCTTAACCACCCCCATATCATCAAACTCTACCAGGTGTGTGCTCTCTATTATAATAGGGTGACATTGTTATATTGGAATTGTGTGTGTGTGTGTGTTCTTTTGGGTGTGTTGACTGACAACATATCCTGCATGGATACAGGTGAGTGACTGGTCCATGTGTTTGGCTACGTGTGCACAGAGAGAGACACAGGCTGAGTTGGTGCTGGGGACAAACAACACAGGCAGAATAAGCAGGAGAGGTAGAGAGCAAGGGAGTAGGGATGGAGGTGTGGTGCCAAGGAACAGAGGGATGACGCTTATCCAGAGGCAGCGCTCCTAGTGGCCGGGGACTTTAATGTGGGGAAACTTAAATCCTTTCTACCTCATTTCTACCAGCATGTTAAATGTGCAACCAGAGGAAAAAAAACTCTAGACCACCTGAACTCCACACACAGAGACGCGTACAAAGCTCTCCCTCGCCCTCCATTTGGCAAATCTGACCATAATTCTATCCTCCTGATTCCTGCATATAAGCAAAAAATAAAGCAGGAAGCACCAGTGACTCGGATAATAAGGAAGTGGTCAGATGACGCAGATGTTAAGCTACAGGACTGTTATGCTAGCACAGACTGGAATATGTTCCCAGGATTTTTCTGATGGCATTGAGGAGTACACCACATCAGTCACTGGCTTCATCAATAAGTGCATCGATGACGTCATCCCCACAGTGATCGTACGTACATACCCCAACCAGAAGCCATGGATTACAGGCAACATCTGCACTGAGCTAAATGGTAGAGCTGCCGCTTTCAAGGAGCGGGACTCTAACTCGGACGCTTATAAGAAATCCCGCTATGCCCTCCGACGAACCATCAAACAGGCAAAGAGTCAATACAGGACTAAGATTGAATCGTACTACATCGGCTCCGATGCTCGTCGGATGTGGCAGGGCTTGCAAACTATTACAGACTACAAAGGGAAGCACAGCCGCGAGCTGCCCAGTGACACGAGCGTACCAGACGAGCTACAGTGCCTTGCAAAAGTATTCATCCCCCTTGGTGTTTTTCCTATTTTGTTGCAGTACAACCTGTAATTTAAATGGATTTTTATTTGGATTTCATGTAATGGACATACACAAAATAGTCCAAATTGGTGAAGTGAAATGAAACAAATAACTTGTTTCAAACAATTCTAAAAACTAAATTACGCAAAAGTGGTGCCTGCATATGTATTCACCCCCTTTGCTATGAAGCCCCTAAATAAGATCTGGTGCAACCAATTACCTTCAGAAGTCACATAATGAGTTAAATAAAGTCCACCTGTGTGCAATCAAAGTGTCACATGATCTCAGTATATATACACCTGTTCTGAAAGGCCCCAGAGTCTGCAACACCACTAAGCAAGGGGCACCACCAAGCAAGCGGCACCGTGAAGACCAAGGAGCTCTCCAAACAGGTTAGGGACAAAGTTGTGGAGAAGTACAGATCAGGGTTGGTTTAAAAAAAAATATCTGAAACTTTGAACATCCCACGGAGCACCATTAAATCCATTATTAAACAATGGAAAGAATATGGCACCACAACAAACCTGCCAAGAGAGGGCCGCCCACCAAAACTCACAGACCAGGCAAGGAGTGCATTAATCAGAGAGGCAACAAAGAGACCAAAGATAACCCTGAAGGAGCTGCAAAGCTCCACAGCGGAGATTGGAGTATCTGTCCATAGGACCACTTTAAGCCGTACACTCCACAGAGCTGGGCTTTACATAAGAGTGGCCAGAAAAAAGCCATTGCTTAAAGAAAAAAAGAAGATCCTCAAAAAGTTCTACAGCTGCACCATCGAGAGCATCCTGACTTGTTGCATCACCGCCTGGTATGGCAACTGCTCGGCTTCCGACCGCAAGGCACTACAGGTGGGTAGTGCGTACGGCCCAGTACATCACTGGGGCCAAGCTTCCTGCCATCCAGGACCTCTATACCAGGCGGTGTCAGAGGAAGGCCCTACAAATTGTCAAAGACTCCAGCCACCCTAGTCATAAACTGTTCTCTCTGCTACCGCACAGCAAGCGGTACAAAAGGCTTCTTAACAGCTTCTACCCCCAAGCCATAAAACTCCTGAACAGCTAATCATGGCTTCCCGGACTATTTGCATTGTCCCCCACACCCCACCTCACCCACCCCATCCCCTCTTTTTACGCTACTGCTACTCTGTTTATTATCTATGCATAGTCACTTTAACTCTACCTACATATACATATTACCTCAATTACCTCGCCTAACTGGTGCCCCAGCACATTGACTCTGTACCGGTACCCCCTGTATATAGCCTCCCTACTGTTTATGTATTAATTCAATCCTTTTTTAACTCTCTTTCTCTTTGGTGAGATGATGACAGAGGAGCAGAGCAGTAGACAGAGGGAAGGAAATAGTATTTTGCTGCTTGGATGAGTCAGTCTCTATAGGCTTGTGTGTCAAGCTCAATTAGCGTCTATGGAAGTCAAGTGTAATATTTCCTAATGTAAAGGTGGCCCCGCCAAGCACTGCTACTTCTCGGCCGTTAATGACACTACCACAAATCCACTTTTTCCCTCAGCAGGCCTGACACTCTGGTGCAGATGGCCTTACACACACACACACACACACACACACACACACACACACATACACACACACAAAGTACACACAAAGTACACACAAAGTACACACAAAGTACACACAAAGTACACACAAAGTACACACACATACACACAAAGTACACACAAAGTACACACACAAAGTACACACACACACAAAGTACACACAAAGTACACACACACACAAAGTACACACAAAGTACACACACACAAGTATACACAAAGTATACACACACAAAGTACACACACACACAAAGTATACACAAAGTATACACACACAAAGTACACACAAAGTATACACAAAGTACACACAAAGTACACACACACAAAGTACACACACAAAAAGTACACCCACACCCACACACAGGGCTCAATGCTACCCCTCTCACATGCCTTGAGTGAGACAGGAAAGCCTGATGTGTCATATGTCCTCCAGAGGACAATTCCTCAGTTCCTCTCTATGTCAGATGAGCCACTGTGAGCAGATTAATACGGAGGGATAGTCCCCCTAAAGAGACACAGGGCTCTATCCTCCGATGCGAAACAGATGAGCACACTGAGGAGGGAGGGAGGAGGGAGCAGGAGTATGGGGGGGGAGGGAGGAGGGGGGGGGGTTTCGGGAGGTGATGGGGGATGTAGGATAGGGGAGGATGTTATAGATAGCGTGCGAGAAAGCGAGAGAGAGACGCTTATACTCTAGACTATCTCTAGCTCGCATCTATCGAGCGATATCTCTCTTTCTCTATCTCTCTCTCGACTCTCTCTTCTCGTTCCTCTCTACTATCTCTTCATGGACCAAAACCGTGAGGGCTTGAGCTTGTCAGGTGCTAGCTGTTTGATGAAGTTTAGAGCAGGTATCTATGACCTGAGGGAAACCCTTTTCTCCTTCACACCCCCTCATCTGCCCACTGAGGGGGAGGTGTAGTGCGGTGAAGGTGATCTTGTGATCCAGAGGTCACATCCTCTCCTTATCATCCCCCTCTTCCAATAACCAAAAACAGAACACTGAATTACGAGCAGTCTGTACCGTATGACTAGTCAAGGAGAGGAAGTAGCTAGAAGAGGAGAGGGGGAAAGCCTCAAGAATAACATCAAAGCGTTGAACCTTGACCTTTAAATAAGCTGCAGTTTCCATCTTATGTGAACAAAATGTCCCTTTTTACCCCCCTGCATCTCTGGAGATCATCACAGCCTCTCTCTCTCTCTCTCTCTCTCTCTCTCTCTCTCTCTCTCTCTCTCTCTCTCTCTCTCTCTCTCTCTCAATTCAATTACATTTCAATTTAAGGGCTTTATTGGCATGGGAAACGTATGTTAACATTGCCAAAGCAAGTGAAGTAGATAGCAAACAAAAGTGAAATAAACAATACATATTAACAGTAAACATTACACTCAGAAGTTCCAAAAGAATAAAGACATTTCAAACGTCATATTTTGTCTATATACAGTGTTGTAACAATGTGCAAATAGTTAAAGTACAAATGGGAAAATAAATCAACATAAAAATGTTGTTTGTTCTTCACTGGTTGCCCTTTTCTTGTGGCAACAGGTCACAGATATTGCTGCTGTGATGGCACACTGTGGTATTTCACCCAATAGATATGGGAGTTTATCAAAATTGGATTGGTTTTCAAATTCTTTGTGGGTCTGTGTAATCTGAGGGAAATATGTGTCTCTAATATGGTCATACATTTGGCAGGAGGTTAGGAAGTGCAGCTCAGTTTCCACCTCATTTTGTTGGCAGTGTGCACATAGCCTGTCTTCTCTTGAGAGCCAGGTCTGCCTACGGCGGCCTTTCTCAATAGCAAGGCTATGCTCACTGAGTCTGTACATAGTCAAAGCTTTCCTTAAGTTTGGGTCAGTCACAGTGGTCAGGTATTCTGCCACTGTGTACTCTCTGTTTTATGGCCAAATAGCATTCTAGTTTGCTATTTTAGTTAATTATTTCCAATGTGTCAAGTAATTATCTTTTTGTTTTCTCATGATTTGGTTGGGTCTCTCTCTCGCTCTCGTTTTCTGTCTCTCTCTCTCTCTCGTTTTCTGTCTCTCTCTCTCTCTCGTTCACACACTCCCCCACACACCACTCTTCAAGGGCCAGTATGACGGGCCCTTAACGTGCTAGACTACTTCTCTGGAAGCCTGTATGACACCAGCAGCACCTCTAGGTGAGAGGGACACAGAGTGGTGCTCATCTCTCAGATAAAGACTATAGATTACTCCCTGTATGGGAGCCTCTGTGCCTCCCTAAATATTACTGCTGCCCAACACCTCACTGTCTCTCACAGAGTTAGAAAAGTCAAAGAGAAACTGGGTTGGAAATGAAATGAGGCTATAAAATGTGTGACATAGCTTTAGGTGTTGGTTTATTGAGTCCTGGCAGCGATGTTTATCAGTCTTTTCTTCAGATGTGGTAGTGACACAACACTCCCACAATGTTTGGTCCCCGAGGGCTCTCCTGGCCCTGAGAAGTTTTGGGGAGTTCCAGGAAGGGGATGGGACATTGCGTCTTTCCTTCTTTTTATTTTTGTCTTTGCGGTGGTGATGGGTTCTCGATACACAAGCTCGACCTTTGTGTCTGAACTTTTCTTTTTCTTTCCCAGAATTAAAGAGATTTGGTTTCTGTTGAAAACTAATGAAAGACAACACAGTCTTAGTGGGAATACTGGTTTGAACTGTTTCTGTGTTCATATCCTATAAATAAAGAGCATGCAGGAAGTGCCTGTCAGCTCTGTTATGCAACAGTGCATATCATGGAAAGTCAGCGTGTCGTGTGTGTGTATGTGTGTGTGAATGAGAGGAGTTATGGAACAGGCAGGAGGAAGTGTGGTCAGTGGAAAAATAAGGTGTCCAGAAAACGTCCCCAGTGCCCAGTCCTGGCTCTGCTAAAACACTTACAGCAGCCTTTACAGTGGAAAGTCCTCTTTCCTCACGTTATCACTGTATGTTTATGTGCATTTGTGTGTAGCCTACTTCTTGCTAACCTCTCTCCATTGTCTCTCTTTGTATTCCTCTTAGGTTATGGAGACTAAAGATATGCTGTATATTGTGACAGAATACGCCAAAAATGGAGAGATGTTCGGTGAGGACCAAATTCAATATCCCCATTGTTGTAAACTGGGTTGGGCTGTTTGATTTTACGTAATAAAAGGGGTCAAATAGATATCAAGATCCTCTCTTACCCAGGATTTACAGTCCTTATTTGGTTCTCTGAATCTTAACTGGCCCCCTCTCTTCTTTTCTCCCTTTCTTCCTCTAGACTACTTGACCTCAAATGGGCGCATGAGCGAGGACGAGGCACGGAAGAAGTTCTGGCAAATCCTGATGGCGGTGGACTACTGCCACAGACACCACATCGTTCACCGTGACCTCAAGACTGAGAATCTGCTGCTGGATGCCAATATGAATATCAAACTGGCCGGTGAGTCTGTGATAACAGATAGTAGACTACCCTCTGTCCTTGATGGTTCCCTACTGATGTTCAGACAGCTACATTTCTCTACTAAAGAGAAGCCATGCATCACTGGGTCTGTGCTAATGAAGTGCCAACTGCCAAGAATTAGAGGATTCTTCAGGGTAAAATAGTAGGATCAGAGCAGGGCTGATCTGATGCCGCAAAGGCCCAGTGTGACAGTCTGTAGTCAGTAAACACACACACAAACAAACACACACGCACGCACACGCTAGCACACACATGGGCACCCACACACAAACACACACAAATAATCATGAGTTTCACTAACAAGTCGATCTCTCTCTCCCTCCCATTCAGACTTTGGATTCGGAAACTTCTACAACTCAGGCGAGCCCCTGTCTACGTGGTGTGGCAGCCCTCCCTATGCAGCACCCGAGGTGTTCGAGGGGAAGGAGTACGAAGGGCCACAGTTGGATATCTGGGTAAGGGCTCACAGGGAAACCGCACACAACATGGCTACCCATGTTTTGAACGCAGGTGTTTTATTTATTTATTTATTTTTATTTAACCTTTATTTAACCAGGTAAGCCAGTTGAGAACAAGTTCTCATTTACAACTGCGACCTGGCCAAGATAAAGTAAAGCAGTGCGATAAAAACAACAACAACACAGAGTTACATATGGAATAAACAAAACGTACAGTCAATAACACAATAGAAAATCTATATACAGTGTGTGCAAATGTAGTAAGTTATGGAGGTAAGGCAATAAATAGGCCATAGTGCAAAATATTTACAATTTAGTATTAACACTGGAGTGATAGATGTGCAGAAGATGATGTGCAAATAGAGATACTGGGGTGCAAATGAGCAAAATAAATAACAATGTAAATAACAATATGGGGATGAGGTAGTTGGGTGGGCTAATTACAGATGGGCTGTGTACAGGTGCAGTGATCGGTAAGCTGCTCTGACAACTGATGCTTAAAGTTAGTGAGGGAGATAAGTGTCTCCAGCTTCATAGATTTTTGCAGTTCGTTCCAGTCATTTGCAGCAGGGAACTGGAAGGAATGGCTGCCAAAGGAGGTGTTGGCTTTGGGGATGACCAGTGAGATATACCTGCTGGAACGCATACTACGGGTGGGTGTTGCTATGGTGACCAATGATCTAAGAGAAGGCGGGGATTTGCCTAGAAGTGATTTATAAATGACCTGGAGCCAGTGGGTTTGGCGACGAATATTTAGTGAGGGCCAGCCAACGAGAGCGTACAGGTCACAATGGTGGGTAGTATATGGGGCTTTGGTGACAAAACAGATGGCACTGTGATAGACTACATCCAATTTGCCTGAGTAGAGTGTTGGAAGCTATTTTGTAAATTACATCGCCGAAGTCAAGGATCGGTAGGATAGTCAGCATGAGTGAAGGAGGCTTTGTTGCGAAATAGGAAGCCGAATCTAGATTTAACTTTGGATTGGAGATACTTAATTTGAGTCTGGAAGGAGAGTTTACGGTCTAACCAGACACCTAGGTATTTGTAGTTGTCCACATATTCTAAGTCAGACCTGCCGAGAGTAGTGATTCTAGTCGGGCGTGCGGGTGCAAGCAGCGTTTGATTGAAGAGCATGCATTTAGTTTTACTAGCGTTTAAGATCAGTTGGAGGCCACGGAAGGAGTGTTGTATGGCATTGAAGCTCGTTTGGAGGTTTGTTAACACAGTGTCCAATGAAGGGCCAGATGTATACAAAATGGTGTCGTCTGCGTAGAGGTGGATCTGAGAGTCACCAGCAGCAAGAGCGACATCATTGATATACACAGAGAATAGAGTCGGCCCGAGAATTGAACCCTGTGGCACCCCCATAGAGACTGCCAGAGGTCCAGACAACAGGCCCTCCGAATTGACACATTGAACTCTATCTGAGAAGTAGTTGGTGAACCAGGCGAGGCAGTCATTTGAGAAACCAAGGCTATTTAGTCTGCCAATAAGAATGCAGTGATTGACAGAGTCAAAAGCCTTGGCCAGGTCGATGAAGACGGCTGCACAGTACTGTCTTTTATCGATCGCAGTTATTATATCGTTTAGGACCTTGAGCGTGGCTGAGGTGCACCCATGACCAGCTTGGAAACCAGATTGCATAGCGGAGAAGGTACGGTGGGATTCGAAATGGTCGGTGATCTGTTTGTTAACTTGGCTTTCAAATACTTTCGAAAGGCAGGGCAGGATGGAAATAGGTCTGTAATGTTTGGATCTAGAGTGTCACCCCCTTTGAAGAGGGGGATGACTGTGGCAGCTTTCCAATCTCTGGGGATCTCAGACGATACGAAAGAGAGGTTGAACAGGCTAGTAATAGGGGTTGCGACAATTTCGGCAGCACATTTTTAGAAAGAAAGGGTCCAGATTGTCTAGCCCAGCTGATTTGTAGGGGTCCAGATTTTGCAGCTCTTTCAGGATATCAGCTATCTGAATTTGGGTGAAGGAGAAGCGGGGGGGGGGGGGGGGGGCATGGGCAAGTTGCAGCGGAGGGTGCAGAGCTGGTGGCCGGGGTAGGGGTAGCCAGGTGGAAAGCATGGCCAGCCGTAGCAAAATGCTTATTGAAATTCTCGATTATCGTCGATTTATCGGTGGTGACAGTGTTTCCTAGCCTCAGTGCAGTGGGTAGCTGGGACTTTACAGTGTCCCAAAACTTTTTGGAGTTAGTGCTACAGGGTGCACATTTCTGTTTGAAAAAGCTAGCCTTTGCTTTCCTAACTGCTTGTGTATATTGGTTCCTGACTTCCCTGAAAAGTTGCATATCGTGGGGGCTGTTTGATGCTAATGCAGTATGCCACATTATGTTTTTGTGCTGGTCAAGGGCAGTCAAGTCTGGGGTGAACCAGGGGCTATATCTGTTCTTAGTTCTGAATTTTTTGAATGGGGCATGCTTATTTAAGATGGAGAGGAAAGCACTTTTGAAGAACATCCAGGCAAACTCTACTGACGGAATGAGGTCAATATCCATCCAGGATACCCGGGCCAGGTCAATTAGAAAGGCCTGCTTGCTGAAGTGTTTTAGGGAGCGTTTGACAGTGATGAGGGGTGGTCGTTTGACCGCGGACCCATTACGGACACAGGCAATGAGGCAGTGATCGCTGAGATCCTGGTTGAAGACAGCGGAGGTGTATTTAGAGGGTAAATTAGTCATGATGATATCTATGAGGGTGCCCATGTTTACGGATTTAGGGTTGTACCTGGTAGGTTCCTTGATGATTTGTGTGAGATTGAGGGCATCTAGTTTAGATTGTAGGACGGCCGGGGTGTTAAGCATATCGCAGTTTAGGTCACCAAGCAGTACGAACTCTGAGAATAGATAGGGGGCAAGCAATTCACATATGGTGTCCAGGGCACAACTGGGGATTGAGGGACGTCTGCAGGTTGGGATTTATTGTCATGAATCTTGCCCTGGAGACAGCTCTGCAGAGTGGTCACAAGCTGGCACAGTCACAAAGTCATAAGATCTGATTTTAAACCTAACATGCTGACCACACCGCCTGCATTGCGTTTGCAAGCTTTGCAAAATAAATGTACACATACATGTTATTCAATAATTTCAATTGCTCGCGCACATCAATGAGCGTCTGCGTATCTAGGCGCTAAAATAGAACTTGGTTCTATTTTTGACGCGCTGCATGTCCCGTCTCTCCCATCTCCTCATTGGTTTTTAGGAGCATATACCCACGTGGGTGATTGAAAGATGAACTGAGGTCCACACTCCAGTCCAGTTGGTGGGGGTAATGCACCTTAAAGTTGTATGCCAACCGCCATATAAAGTCCACAAAAGAAGAAGAAGCCTGAAGGAGGAGAGTTTACTAGAAACTAACTAGGTTTCCCCTTTTATCTGCGGATTTTGTGTGGCTCAAAATGGGTCAAAATTCTACAAAGATCCAAAAAAAAGGACCTTGTGCATTTCAGGTACAATAACAACCCAATGTTTATATCCCAGGACAAATTAGCTAGCAACAGCAAGCTAGCCAGCTAAATGTCCATTAATGTTTTATGTGTTTCGACCTGTTTCGACCTGCTTCAGAGTATGTTTTGATATTTCAACCTGCGTGTCCTGATTGCGTCTGATGTGGATGGACAAAATCAATATGTGCGCGATGGCGGATGCACGCACGTGCCCTGTCTAGTCAGCATATAACCCTAACCTTAACCCTAACCTTAACCACACTGCTAACCCTAATGCCTAACCCTAATCATAAATAAATACCAAAAAGCTATTTTTTGTTTTCCATGAATATTTTACAATATAGCAAATTTTGACTTTGCAGCTGGCCTATCTAGCAAAAATCGCTCAGTTCTGCCTACAGGGCAAGATTCATGACAATAAACGTAGCGTTTTGAAACCAAGTTCTACCATTTTCATGTCAAACAAATGAATACAGAAGTAGAGGGAGAGACCATTTGTTGATGTTCTCCTCCTGGTCTATCTCTCCTCTACAGAGTTTGGGTGTGGTTCTGTACGTTCTCGTGTGCGGATCCCTTCCGTTCGACGGGCCCAGCCTCCCCGCCCTCAGACAGAGAGTCACAGAGGGGCGCTTCAGAATCCCCTTCTTCATGTCTCAAGGTACACATCACCATGGCAACAACACAGTGAAACATTTCAAAGTGTGATTGGGATTGATAGCTTTACTGTTTATATTAAATAAAAGCACACGCTATAGCATCAGAGAATGACCTTGCTTTCCCTTCTACCTCTTTCCCTCCCTCCCTCCATCCTCCTTCTCTCTCCCTCCCACTCTTTTCCCCCCAGACTGTGAGAACTTGATCCGTAAGATGCTGGTGGTGGACCCAGCCAAGAGGATCAGTGTGGCCCAGATCAAGCAGCACCGCTGGATGCTGGCCGACCCCACAGCTCCTAACCAGACCCTCAGCATGGCACTGCCCCTCACAGACTACAACTCCAACCTGGGGGACTACAGCGAGTCCGTCCTAGGCATCATGCAAACCCTGGGCATCGACCGCCAGAGGACCATCGAGGTGAGTGGAGGATTGGTTGATTTGTTAATTGGCTGATTGGTTGATTGGTGTTATCATCATGGAAGGAGGATTAGAAGAGGGTAATGAGTGAGTGGAGCTGCGTTGTTATATAGATTACAGGTTATAGGTTATAGGTTATATAGTAGTTTATACAGAGTATCACTAGTGTCATAGGAATACAGTATTTGAAGTACACTGTAGAAACAGCTAATGGGGTTGGGTACTGGGTTGAAAGTGGTGGGGCTTTGAGACAGTTAGTCATGTCTGGTAGTAGAGCAGGTGGTATGTTATGCTGCCTCCCAGGCAGGCACCACAGTCAAACCCACCCTGGATCCCTGTATGCCTGGTGGGCTTACTACTCGTTTTGTAGGGAGAATTAGGGGGATAACTGGCATCTGCTTTTAAAGGCTGACACTGAGCACTGAGGAGACGAGCTCCAACAGGAGTCTCTCAGTAGATCAGACTGAGTGAGCACAAAGTGACGGGCGCAGAGCGTGTGTCCGTGTGTGTTTCCTGTCTGACAGAGAAATAAAGAAAGAAATAGAGAATGAGAGAAACAGGGAGAGGAGAGTAAAAAGATGGCTAATACAGTCCTTTATTATGACACCCTTTTAACCAAAATGGCTGACTAACAAGTCCTTGTCTTTTGCCCCAGTCTCTGCTGAGCAGCAGCTACAACCACTTCTCTGCCATCTACTACCTGCTGTTGGAGAGGGACAGGGAACACCGGGCCCTGCAGCTCAGTCGCCAGTGTGGGCCCCGGACCCAGAAACCCAGGAGCACCTCCGACTCCGGTACCCCAGAGGTCATCATGGAGGACAGCTTCAGAACTTCAGCCTACCCCATTCAGTGCAAGACCACACCTCCCATGCACTCAGAGATGGAATATGACCAAAGTGCATTGTTCCAGCGTGTGATGTTCCCGGTGGAAGCCAGTCTGAACCGACAGCTGTGTAACCGCTCCATCTCCCCAAACAGCCTGCTGGAGACCAGCATCAGTGAGGAGGTGCGGCCCCGTGACTTGGAGGAGGAGGAGGTCACACACACCTGCTCACCCCTCATCCTGCCCACCACCACCTCCCGGCGACACACCCTGGCCGAGGTCTCCCCTCACTTCCACGAGTGCAACCCCCCCTGCATCGTGGTCAGCCTCTCCGACGGTGCATCGTCTGACAGCTGTCTGAAGTCATTGTCCACCCCCAACCCTGCCCTGCGCCCCCCTGTGGGGGGCCTGTCAGCCATGACAGCCTCTGGGACTGGCCCCAGGGCGCTGGTCCCTGCCGGTACCCACCCGGCCCTCTTCTCTCACCTACTCCCCCAGGCCCAGGCTTCCAGCTTCCAGGAGGGCCGCAGAGCCTCTGACACCTCCCTCACACAAGGTATGGGTGATGTCAGTTTATAACCATTACATACAGTATGTATCATTCACATCATCATCATCATCATCACTACAAGGAAATGTATCAGGCCTAACAGCATTTAACCGATCCCCTCTGTGCGCCTCCCCAGGTCTGAAAGCCTTCCGCCAACAGCTGAGGAAGAACACGCGCACTAAGGGTCTTCTGGGTCTGAATAAGATCAATGGTCTGGCAAGGCAGGTCTGTCCTCTGACCTCCGACCACAGTAGCCGTGGCAGCCGGGGATCAATAGGCCCCACCATCAATGAGCACTGCAGCATGCTGGAGGAAGTTCTGCACCAGCAAAGGTAAGATGGGGACACACACACAGACACACACACACACCTGCACATAAATATAATCACAGCCACATAGTCACAGTAAGTGCAATTCTAACCCCTCCTCTCTGTCTCTATTTACAGAATGCTCCAGATACAGCACCAGCCCCAGGCTCCTCAGTCAGCATCTACCCAGAACCCCCTGTTCTTCCTGTCCCAGCAGCAGCCCCCCTCCCCCACCTCTGTCTTTGCCCCCTCTACCCTGTTTGACACACCCACCCCCTCCCTCCTCCAGGAGGAACCTCAACACCTGTCCCTACACCAGAGCCCCCTGGCTCTCCAGCACGCCTTCTGGCAGCAGCCTCTGGAGTCATCTTCCTCCTCCTATGGCTCCTCTTCCTCCTGCTCCTCATCATCATCCTCCTACTGCGCCTCCTCTTCCTCCCTCTCCCCCGTGGCCTCCGCTGCTTACCTCCTCGAGGCTCGCCTGCACATCAGCCAGCAACCCAGCCTCTATCCCCAGACCAACCTCCACTACCAACCCCAGGCCCAGAACCAGGCCTTCACCCAGGGCCCCTTCCCCCTCATGGTCAGGCAGGGGAGGTGGAGCCTGGATTCAGCCTCCGGGAGAGAGTCTGAGATGCAGGAGCTGAGCCGGGCTGGACAGCTGAGCAGCTGTGTGATGGTGAAGTAATGGAGAGAAAGAAAGGAGAAACAGGAAACAACAAATTCCTACTGGACCAGAGTACTTGTTCAGTATGGCAACCTGAGGAAAAATGTAATGGTGATGTCATCACTGATGGACAGGAAGGGTGAGCACTTTTTGACAGTGGGAACAGAACTTTGAGCTGTGGAGTTACTCACAGATCATCAGATGACGAGAATAAGATGATAGGATGACAGAACAGATCGTCCTAATTGTGAAAAGAGAACAATTGGGGAGAAAAACAAACTCTATGAAAAACTCATTATAGAGTGGACAGATAAAAAAAAACAGATGCAAGTGACAAATCTAAACTCTCTTGAACAACATGCAAACACTCACATCTAGGTGTGTGTATCTGTGTGTGATCACATAAGCTGACAATTAAGCAATAACAAAACTTTGGGGAGATGGCTCTTAGTTCTTTTCGAACCCCCCCAGAGAAACAAAAAGGTCTGGGACCCCCTCAACGCAACAGGGGACCCCTGTACCTGTCCTTTCTCCCTAATGGGGACCCCAACTCACCCATCCTTCTCTGGAGGGGTGTGTGAAGGACTAGTCTTGAAAAAACAATGAGGACTGGTATCAATGAACCAGACTAGGTCATGTAAGACTTATTTCAACAGTTGTGAGTTTTTTCAGTTTTTTTGTTTGTTTGAAAACAGGAGGATCCAGTCTTCCTGATTTTGTCTTTTCCATTTTTGCTTACTGTATACAGACCTTTACTACATTTCATTGTTTTTTACTTTATTTTTTTGATATTACTTTGTGGCAATCCTACACGCATGCAGCATCAGAACTATTCTAATCTTCCAAACAATCTTTGAACACAATGTTATAGTGATTTCACAAACTGTGATTTGTTTGTGCAAGATTCTAGCTGAGCTAATGCTGCTTTTACCACAGAAGAAGATAAAAACCTGGTACATCTTGATCAGCCGAAACGGAAGAAAAAATGTACTTGCTGAGTGTCTAAAGCACAATAGGTACTGCTATAAGCAAGCAGTGTGTGTGTGTGTGTGTGCCTTAAAAAAAGGTTGATTTCAATTGATAATTTATACTTATGTATGGTTACTTTCTAATCATATTCCCTCTGTTTTTATGTCCTTATGGCGAGGAATCCTCGATCATGCTATTTTGCTGTTTAATCATTACCTTCTCAGGCAACCAAGTCCCAAAAATGTGGAAACACTGTCTAAACTTAAGACCCTGAAGACCTATGAGCATGATGTCATTCCCTATCAGTGACTTTAACCACTTTACTTTTCACTTGATGTGAAGGCTGTGTGTAGGCTATATGCTGTACTGCTTTCACATAGCCAGAACAAAGACTTTGGGACTATAGTGCAATATTTCACATTGAAATGCAGAGGAAATTAGAAATAAAGAGCTGACATAGGATCGTACATTACCTGCCTGCTGGTACCTTCAGAGGGCGCTAGCTGAGTAGATCAGGGACTAGAACGCTTCTGTTTTTGTTGAACATGAACATAGATATGAATAGGTGTAAAAGAAAGGACCCAAACCATTTCATAGTGCTTTTCCTCTTGACAACACAGTTGCCTCTGCCATTGTACAATGGCAGAACTAGAGATAAGCCAAAGAGAGAGCAGAGTAAGAGAAAGAAGCACTGCTTACTTTCCAGCAACTCAAAATGCTAGCTAGCTAGTGCTTTCATGGTGTACTCTGTGTAGCTCATGCTATGAGCAAGCTGCTTCTGCCACAAGATGCTAATGTGTTGAAGATTCCCCTAGCAGTTGGGTTCCAGGACCATGGCTGTATTTGTATTTTTCTAAGAAAAGAAGAAAATAAAATGGAAAACAACTTGTAGCACTACAATAATTTTTGCTGCAATGTGAGTTTTCTCAATGAATTGGCCGTAGGTGGTAGAGGTCGCTAGCTAGAGGTAAATACAACGTACTTGGGTGTATGTGTTAGGCCTATTTATTTTTAGAGAATGTGTTTGAAACACCACCATTTACTTCAGCTGTTTCCACCATGATAGCTGTGCACCTTTGTTATTTTGGTTAGTTTGACCATATCTTTGAAGTGGTCTTCTTTTGAACAACATGTTGAAGAGGAAAAGTGTTGGAAGCCTGAAGCTTAAAAGTTGTTTGATAGATTTCTCTCTGAAATAAGCAGTGTTAATATTTCTTAATGACATTAGATTTTGCTTGATTACACTCACCAACAGCGCTTGTGCCTTCTTCAGAACAAACCCCCTACGATCAGAGTAACCCTCTTTCCTCCAATCAGCACAAAGAGAAAACGGGTGGGCCCATAAGACCCAGTTTTGCTACTTTGATTTAACTTGCTGTATTGAAGAAAAAAATAAGCATTTCACTTTACAATGAATATATCTTCACAAACTTAGTTTGACCAAACTATTGAAACACTAAGAACCTTTTTGACGCAGATCTGTAAGATGTCCTATTTGGTAAAATGTTGGATATTAAGAAATATGCGTTATGATTTTCCTGATTTGCTACTTGACTGTGTGTGTGTGTTTGTATGAATGTTATATGAAAATAAATATTGTTTCTTTATGTGGCTAATTTATTTGAATAAAACATGAATAAACATGAATTCCAGTTGTTGGTCGTAATTTAGTGTAAATGTCTTAAGCCCCGTTTATACCTGTTTCTAACATGCATGCTTTGCCCTAATCTGAAGTCCACAATCTGATTTTGCCCAAATTTTTTGACAGTGTAGAATATTAAAAGATGCATTGTGATCAGATTGGGATCTTCGTGGGCTATACTCAGCCTTGTCTCAGGGTAGTAGGTTGGTGGTCTGTTGATATCCATCTGGTGGTGTGGGGGCTGTGCTTTGGCAAAGTGGGTGGGGTTATATCCTAACTGGTTGGCCCTGTCCGGGGGTATCGTCGGACGGGGCCACAGTTTCTCCTGACCCCCCCTTTCTCAGCCTCCAGTATCTATGCTGCAATAGTCTATGTGCCGGGAGGCTAGGGTCAGTCTGTTATATTTGGTGTTATTCTCCTGTCTTATCCGGTGTCCTCCTGTCTTATCTTATCCGGTGTCCCTCTCTCCCTCCCATCCCGGAGGACCTGAGCCCTAGGACCATGCCTCAGGACTACCTTGCCTGATGACGCCTTGCTGTCCCCAGTCCACCTGGTCGTGCTGCTGCTCCAGTTTCCACTCTTCTGCCTGCGGCTATGAAACCCTGACCTGTTCACTGGACGTGCTACTGTTGTGGAAATTCATCACTATACTTTATTAACAATCAAAGTTCTTACAGAGTTTTTGTTGCATCAAGATATGACTTTATTAGAGTTTCAACAAAGCCGATGCCGGTCTGCAGAGTGGCACCCCCTCTTCTTCTCTCCCTCCATCTTATATAGTGGCCTCCACACACCCTAGCTTTAAATCCCTCCCTTCTCAGTTTCCCGCTCTTTTATTGCTCCGCCCACTCCCCTTGTCTATGGTGGTGGCTACATTCAACTTTCATTCAGTTCAGAATCAATAGTAATACACTCAATCAATCCCTTATCTTGCAAAAACACTCATGTTTAGTTTAAACTCTGTTCAACCCCAGCTCTCCCGGGCTTGACCTGAAGACCGATTGTTGGACATGACAGGTCCCTGAATCCTTGAAACCTACACAAACCCCCCTTCATGCTGTAATCTATCAAGAAGATAGCCAAGGAGAGACAAAGGTTTAGCCCAAACTCTGTTCAACTCTGGTGCCGAGAGAGACAAAATGCCACAGGCTAGTTCCAGTCTTTGATAAGATAGGACAGCCATGGATTTAAGTAAAAGCGAGCAATTTGACCCTAGGTCAGATTGCCTCTTTACCCCCACATACACAATGAAATTACCCAATTAAATTCCTGGCCCAGTAACACAAAATTCTAACTCTATGTTCATGATTAACCCAGTTTTATCTCATAGTCCATTAAAAAATACACATCACTACCTTGTTCCAGACGTGCTGTTTTCAACTCTCTCTCTCTACCGCACCTGCTAGTTCAACCTCTAAATGCCCGGCTATGAAAAGCCAATTGACATTTACTCCTGGTGTACTGACCTGTTGCAACCTCTACAACCATCCATGAACGTTTGAACATCTTGGAGAAAAATCTGGCCTTAATGGCCATGTACTGTTATAATCTCCACCCGGCACAGCCAGAAGGGGACTGACCACCCCTCAGAGCCTGGTTCCTCTCTAGGTTTCTTCCTAGGTTTCTGCCTTTCTAGGGAGTTTTTCCTAGCCATCGTGCTTCTACATCTGCATTGCTTGCTGTTTGGGGTTTTAGTCTGGGTTTCTGCGTAGCACTTTGTGACATCTGCTGATGTAAAAAGGGCTTTATAAATAACATTTGATTTATTTGAAAATTTGATCTTCCTGACCACCTCCTGAGGTAGTCAGACACTTAGACAGACTCTTCACAGTGAAACCATTTAAATGATCATTATCCCGCCGTCTAAAATCATTGACATGTGATATATAACCTTAACCCAATTCGCCATTGACTTATGGCGTCAATATGTCTTAAAATAAATAAATATTATTTTGAAACAAAATCTGTCAAATAATGTGCATACAGGAAGGGACCACAATGCAGATAAAGTGGACAGATAAGAGACACATTTTACTAGCATGTGTAGATGCAACAATGTGGGCACAATCAGAATGTGGATAAGATCAGGACAAAGGATGTATGTTCGCACCAGGTATAAACAAGGCTTTAGTCATATGATAATACATGCTAATATGTATTAATCAAAAGCAGGCTGACTAACAACCACTAGAATGTTAAATCAAAATGGATGACATGGAAAGCTGAAGCTGAAAATATTCCCTAGAAAACTACTTCAACGTTTTTAACGCCATATTTAGAGGGCCAGACAAGGAATCACATCGTCCCCTTCCCCCTGGTGATGACGCACATTGATGATGCTCGCTGTGATGATGCGATGATGACGCTTGGTGATGATGCTGTGTGTCTATTGCCGCATTCAAAACTACTG